AAATAGGGTGAATACATCTCATATTACTGATTTACTGGTAGTCTCGAAACTCTACTTACATACGAAAAATGGCCATCTAATTTAAGTTATACTCAAAGACCTACTTAAATAGTATATAAGTAATGCAGTGGATTATAAAAGTTAACTGAATATACGCCGACATCTTGCAAAAAGAATTGGAATGTGGTCTTCCCGGCATTCGCAGACTTTCCCATAGAATGGAGTGAGCTCAACAACTGCAAATCAAGAGATGCCTTAAAGCCCAACTACTCTCCGCACACACTTACAATGACAATTCTGTATATTCACATGTTTTTGCCAGAATCCAAGGCGATTGCAGTCAATTTATCGTGCGAAATAAGAACTTGTGCCACATCAGATCACCAAGAACCTCTGTAAAGATATGCTCAAACCGAGCTAACCGACAACCGGGCACCCGGCACTCGGCGTTCTTCTTCTGGCCGGCTCGAGCCCTGACATCTCGTCACATCGGACCCTCACTCAAAATGGCGGTGAGCCAAACACTCATCGCAAGTGGCCGACTAGTCTCACTTCGAAGGGCGTACAATCGGCCGTCGCTTTGTGCCTCATCGCGCCAGGCCTGGCCGAGAGTCCCGTGACAGACATCTTCCGTTTCATCTTCACTTCGTCTGCTCCCGTCGCTTCGAAGAGGCTGGGGCAGACGCGACGGGCAGCGCAGTTCTGAGATCGGCGGCAAGTGGCCCGGCTCGAGGCAAAGCCCGCTGCCAAGCGTCATTTGGACGTCGCGAAACAGGCTCCCCTCCGACTTGGCCATCTCCTCGGTCGCCTGGCAACCGACGGACTTGCCCGGCTTCGGCCGTCGCCGCTCCAGCTGCCGCCAGGCGTCGCAGGCCTCGTCACACCGTCCGAGAGCGTAATTCTCTCGTACCGGAGCCTCGACCAGCCTGACGGCCTCAACCTCTTCATCCGCCTCCGACGGCTTGGCCGACTCCGGTTCGGCCGATCGAGCCGAGTCGAGCACGGCAGAGCCCAGCCTCGCCTTGAGACACTCCTGGCAGACGGGACTCGAGCTCAGGCCCCCGAAGCCCCGGTGGGCGGCACTCTCTGTCGACGACAGACTCAGATTCGAGTAGCCCCCGGCTGCGGGCAGATGAGACTCCGCGAAGGTGAGCAGGCCGGCAGGAGCGGAGCAGGGCTGAGTGCTGAGGCTGCAGGGCCGGCAAAATGGGGTACTCGCCGGGACTCGAGCCAGGACCCTTGAAGTGCAACGGCTGGCGAGGCTCGAGCCGGCGGAGGCGACGGCCGACTCATGGGCCGAGGATCGACACCACTTGGACATGAGTCGGAGAGTACTGAGTCGCTTTGGAGAAGACGAGCGACTGGGGACGGCCAGATTTGCGTCAATTGCATGCATAACTGCTCAGAAAAGGCACAAAGAGAGAGAAATAACTGCTTGGTACAGTTTGATGAGGGCTAATGCACATAACTAAGAAGCTAGCAAGATGGAACGTATTATTTTATTCTGTCTTTCTCTCTCTCTCTCTCTCT